ATCCTCCTGCTTCTGCAAAAGAAATTTTCCTGTGGTGACTGCTGATTTTGTTCAACTTTGGCTACTTAAACTACTGGGAATGCTACCTCTGCTAAACTTTTCCGATTTAAAGCCTGAGTTATTTAATTTGATCAAAATGTTTAGGCTGAAAATTCCCTATTGCTGCTTGCTCTGAGATGAGTTTTAGGTGAGTTTTGGGAAGTGAAGAAAGAGGCCACTTAAAGGGAAAATGTAAAGGAAGGGGGACAATGTAATTAATTAAATAGGGGGAGGAAGTAATGTAAATAGTACAAAGACTGTATGTAGTAGCTCTTTGCTAAGGAGCCCAGTTCTGTGTCCTTTGGAACAGGTATCTGAATTTTTTTGAAGGTAAAGAAGCTGTCCAGGGGAAATTCTGTAGTTATTAAGGAAAGAGGGAGAGGAGATTGATACATCTCTATGAGAGATTGAGAATGCAAGTCCCAGTATCTTTAGTTGGAGGTAGTACCAAGTACCAATAAGCTAAAAATATTTCCCTTGCTGCCTCCTGAGCATACAAAAGGCACTACAGGGAAAACTTGAAGTGGGAATATTATCAATTTTTTTTTTAAAGTAGTCATAGAATAGCTCTTCTAGTTTGGCCATCATTAAAGAAAATCTGTGAAAATCTTTTTAAAGAGAGGAGAAGAAAAAAGTAAATTGCATTCTTCCCATTCAGAAACTTCAAATGCAGGTCTTTGCTTGATGAGATCTCTGGCAGCATGGAATGGCCTTACTGATTTCAGTGTTTTTTGTCATCTTTTCATGCCAATGTATCGAGCAGTACTCTAGCTGAGAACAGTTTATATCAAATATACATCCTTTTATTTAATTCCTGCTTGCTATGTTTTTTTTTTTCCTACTATGTTTTGTCACTGATTTCCATCTTTCTTTCTTTTTATCTAGTGTATGTCATAATATCAGTCTTTTGCCTGGCATCTGCAATGAGTCTCTACAACTGTCTTGCTGCATTAATCGGAGAAGTACCATTTGGGCTATGCAGGTATTGTACACCTCTTAAATCTCCATGGAAACAGATACTGGTTCTCAGTTTTGCAGTGCATGCTTATTCCATTTTAATCTTGTATTAGGTGTCCTAAAACCAGATTGATTTCCTTTCTCCCCACCCCTCCTGGAATCATGACCTTACATTCCTTCACTGGCATAGTTCTCTTGGTATAATTGTTGCACAGCAGAAGTGTATTAATTAATAACTCATCTGCTTGCCTTCTTCTCTGCATGTCCTTACTAAAATGAGGCCATAGAAGCCTAACTTGGTCCACCTTCTGTGCGCATTTTTAAATGTAGCCTGGAGAAGGCTTGGATCAGGCTGCACCCGAGTTCTGTTTCCAATGCAGGGGCAGAGGAGGAGCTCCCAGGGTGAGAACACCTTGTCAGCTTAAAGACCTGTCATGGCATAAGGATGTGTTTTGACTGTTGCAGATTTTCTGTTTAACTTAATGTTTATCTTTTAGGGTTACATGTTGCAACAAAACTATCGAAGTGAGGCTTATTTTTCTTGCTGGGTTCTGCATAGCAGCATCTGTTGTCTGGGCAGTGTTTCGAAATGAAGATAGGTAAGTGATGCATTCTGACTTGAAAGAGTAAAATGAATAATTCATACTAGCAAGCTTCCAAACGTGCAACTAATCCTGGAATATGGGAGCCTTCTAAACAGCACTGATAATTTAAAAGGGTGTAAAAATGATTATGAAAAGATTCCCATGCTTAGCAAGCATGGGAATAACAATGTATGATTATTTGGAGTTACAAAAAATTATGAAGGAGGGGAGGAACTCAATTGCTAATGATGACCACAGAGGGGAGAAAAAGTGCAAAAAGAGAAATGCAAGCATAGAACTATAAATAAGCAATGTTATAGCACAACGCAAAGTATCTTCTTGAGCCAGACATTTTAACTGGGTCTTCCTGTCAACAGCGTGTTAAGCAAGTGAGCAATCATAAAGTGAGTAGCAGGGCCCTTTTATTACCCCTGCTCAACTCATTTTCTTCTTAGCAAGTTGATAAGGAATACTTAGCAATTTGTGATCACAGGATAGTGTGAACTGACTATCCCATTGTCTATTCAATAGCAGTACTTCCAAAAAACTAACTCTGTGTTTTCCTTTCCACTTTGTACTCTTACTGTTTCCAGTAACAGCTAAAATTGTTCTTGTCCTTAGATTTTTAGCAGTGAGCTTAAACAATGTGTGAAAAACTGTTCTTATTTTTTAGGTGGGCTTGGATTTTGCAAGATATCTTGGGAGTTGCTTTCTGCCTAAACTTTATTAAAACACTGAAGATGCCCAACTTTAAGGTATTGTAAGTTGTTTTCCTTAATAAAACATTCAAACGACGTATGAATGTCATACGTGTGTGTGTGTGTAGTCCCAGGAAGTTTATTTTCAACAGCCAAGAAATAATTAAAAACAGCAAAGTTTCTAATGCCAGTTATTAAACAAAAATTCAGTTCTAAATGCTGTGTTGGAATAAGGATATTATTTTTTAAAACTGTGATAGAGTTGTGGTACTGGAATCTAACAATCCAGCCCATGGAAACCTGTGGTAATATAATATTTCTTTTTTCTTTTTTTAACCAGTCCTGTGTGATACTTCTAGGCCTTCTCCTTTTATATGATGTGTTTTTTGTCTTCATAACACCATTTATCACAAAGGTATGTCTGCGAGTTTCTCTTTAAAACAAAAAACAAACTTCTCTGATCGCAGCAGCACTATTCTGCGGAACAGATTAGCATTTTCAGTATTCCTGATGCATATGCACTGACTTCTGTCCCCTCCTCCACCCAAGACAGCACTGACCTAAATTTTCCTCTTGCATGTTCCATAGAGCTCAAGGCATGTGCAGGTGCCATAAACTGTGTTGAGTGACTCACTACAGCAGTCATATGACCAGCAATAAGCTGTCCCAGATTATGTGACAGGATGATGATGAAAAATGACTGTCTTCTGGTTCCTGGGAGTTTATGTCAGAATGTGCTGCAGTGCTGCCTGCAGTGTACTTTGACCTGTATGCATGTGTATTGTCTCTTCTTTTGAAGCAGAAAGATCATGGCAGAAAAGGCAGAATTTCAGCTGAACTTTTGGCTGTACATGGGTTTTGTGTGTTTTTTGTGTATGTGTGTATGGAGGGGGTTGATGCTTAATTTAGATTAGGCTATACTAAACAACTGCATTCTATACAATGTGTACGATTTTATATTGTATGAATTTAGTGTATTCCTTTTCTATAGTCAGGGTTTTGTCCAATTTGGAATTATCGGTTGAGGAATAAGCAGTTTTTATGTGTGTTATGAAGCCTTTGATATATTAAATCATTAACTTTTTTAAAAACCTTAATTTCAGAATGGGGCAAGTATAATGGTTGAAGTTGCAGCTGGTCCTTTTGGAAATAGTGAAAAGGTAGGAATAGATGTTTTATATATATAACATACAAATACTGACATTTTGCAGCTAATTCAATTAGCAATTAGTGCGCTTTTCAGCATAACCTTCTCACAAAATATAGCCAGCTTTTGCTGTTTTCTTTTAAGTATTAAATACCTGTTGACTTGGGTTTGATCCTAGAGTGATGGAAACTTGGTGGAAGTCCCTACTGAACGCTCAGCTCCCCATGAGAAAGTAAGGATTGTATTTCAGATACTGGATTTTTAAATCACTCCCTCTGAAAAGACTATTCTTTTGGGGAAAACCTGACTGTCCAAATTTTTCTTCAGGGCCTGGATATCATTGGTCAATACTCTCTATAGTTAGGATGATGATAATACAGTTTTGTTACTATATGGTTAAATGTCTTCTTAACTTCTTTTGGTGCTTGCATATTATTTGTAAATATGAAATTCTGGTTTATCTATTGCTTTATGTTTATCCACTCTTTGTGTTGGTTTCTGTTTTTTGCTTTAGGTTTTTACTATTTTGAAAGTCTGCGTTAATTTGATAAATTAAAGTTATATTAGAACTGCTTCTTCATTCAGGAGAAAAAAAAATGCCAACAGCAGGACACTTTAGATTAGATTTATGTGGGCTTCTAAAATACTGTTTTACAGTTACCTGTGGTTATTAGAGTGCCTAGACTTGAATACTCTGCATCAACACTCTGTGACGTGCCATTTTCGTTGTTGGGTTTTGGAGACATCATTGTCCCAGGTGAGCACCTATTTTGTTGCAGTTGTAACTTGTGTTTCAATATTTGATATTTCCTCTCAACTGACTTGCTTTGGAGTTCATTCTACCAAGCAATTATGGAATCAAATGCAGCGGTGAGATTTGTTAATACAGAATACAACAAATACTTAAATAGACTTTCTTTTTTGTTTGCTTTTCTGTAGCACTCCATTCTGCACATATAAGTGCCATAGATGAGTCCAATTGCTAGTACTAATTAAATATCCCAAAATATTCTTTTTCTATGAGATTTCTAAGAATTTCTAGTAATTTTGTATCATGCAGCGCATAGATAAAGGGAAGGTAATGGAAAACAAATTTTCTGCATTATCACAAGTTTTTCGGTTCTCTTTGGAATGGAATTTTGCCATGAATGGATGGAGTCTTGGGCAAATTACTTATGTCAAGTGCAAAGAGGCATCTCCTGAATGGATCATTTTTCCCTATTTTGTGATTTGTACTGAGGCAAAATTGCTGATTCTTAAGGATATTAAAATGCCACTGAAGGGAAGTATTCAAACTGCGTTGTTGCTCCTCTGTATTAGTGACTTCAAAGTAGGAAGTAACACATTGTAATTAGCTGACTTAAAGGAAGAAAAACATGTAATACCATGCTCACTAGCATATTTATGTTTTTTTGATTTTGAGGCTTACCATAGGATTTCTTAAATTGGGTCTTGGCTTTCCGTAAGATAACAATTTCCAGATAAGAAACTTGGAAGAACACACAATAATAGGAAGTCTTACTGTAAATTCTTTTTGTGCTGCTTTGGTGTGGAGAAGGGGGAGATATTTGAGGAGGGCTAATTTTTCTCATTACTTTTTTTTTTTTTTCTCCCCTCTTCAAGGACTTCTGGTTGCATATTGTCGAAGATTTGATGTTCAAACAGGTTCCTCTTCAGTATATTACATTTCCTGTACAATAGGTAATTATGAGACACTCAGAAATGTTAATCCTTTACTTAAAAAAAAAAAAAAAATAGTGGCAGAACTAGTTAGTTTTCGCCAGGTAAAGATTCAGTATTGTCAAGAATATCCTCATAGTGTTTTATAATGTACTCCTCTGTGTTTAAAGTGAGTGTTCTTTAATGGTAGTCAGTTGCTTTGAGAAAGATTGCAAACATATAGCAACCATTCTTCTTCAATTACATTGAAAGAAGTAAATATTACATAAAAACTTTTTTTTTGCTTACTAATCTAGTGATTTTATAAAAATTCACCTATTCTTGACTCTGAATATGTAAATATATATCTATGTGTACTTTTTTTATAGCTTATGCTGTTGGTATGGTGCTAACTTTTGTTGTTTTGGCACTGATGAAGATGGGACAACCTGCCCTGCTCTATCTTGTGCCATGTACGCTCATTACTTGCTCACTTGTTGCTTGGAGACGTAAAGAGATGAAGAAGTTTTGGAAGGGCAGCAGTTATCAGGTAGGTTGGATGCCTGTTATGTTTTTGGTTGTGTATGTTCTTCTCTGAGTACTTAATAATATATTACCTGCAGTCCAATTTTTGCTAGTCTTACTGGTGGTTATCTTTCAGAAAGAATAAGCAAAAGGAGGCTTTATTCTAAAAAATTCCTAGTCTTATTAGCTAGCTTGCCAGAACAAAGTTGAAGGGAATTAGAACAGTTGGTTCAGTATTATCTTAAGAAGATAAAGAAGGAGAGAAAAAACAAAAACAAAAACACAGACCAACCATTTTTTCCCCACTTTTAAATGTTTTTACAGTCTTCATCTATCACCTTGATGTGGTGTAACTCAGCTCACTGAGTGTGCGAATTCCAGTCTGCAGTAGTCCTGTATTAGGATACAGTTTTTAAAAGGTAGTGATCAAGTAGATTTTAGAAATGTTTCCATGCACCCCTGGTGTCTTATGTTGTCCTCCATTATGTGGAGGAATCGGTGACAAAATAATTCAGTGGTTACATAACTGTGTTGTGTCACAGTGCAGTCGGACACTGTGCTGTCATAAGACAGACCAGCCTTGTGATGGCCTCAGAGACCTCAAGGCCACTACTGTTACACTTAAAAGGCTACTTTTATGTCCTGTATCTAGGCTGTTGAGGAGCTCTAAGAGTAGATGCAGAGTTTTGGGTGAGGGAGTGGTGGGGTTTGTTGGTAAATTGGTAGAGGAAAGCTATAGTTTCTGCCTCTCCAACTTGTGGATTGCCAAGTTGAGATGAAACCATGGGAGTTGGGTTTTGTTAGTTCCTGGAGATGTAAAACTGCAGTCTTACAGATCCTGTAGTATTGCCATCTAAACACTGCCTTTGGTGACCGGGCAAATACTCCACACCTGCTTCAGCTGAAGGCTAAATTTGAAACTGCTCAGGAAAAGATCTTTGGCTTTAATTAGGCTGTCTGCCTCTCTGTCTGCAAAAGTTTATTAAGTGAGGACATTACTTAGGGGATAGCTGAAAATGAGCTAAAGAAGAGTGGCCTTCTCCCTTCACAGGTGTAATGAACAGAAATGTTGCTCTGTAGGTCAGAACAAACCCTGCATTTGGGTGTAGAGAGGAGACTATTTGTCATTCTAAAATGCATAGCGCTGCACAAGCAAAGCCAAATAACTCAGGGTCTGCTGGGGAAAGAGTTTTTTTAGAGTTAGTTTCACACTTTAGCTTCCTCACTTGAGTTCTGAGTAAGATTGACCTAAATAAATCTGGCAAGCTTCTTCTTACCAAACCAAAATTTCTTCCACTTCTCACAGTAAAACTCATACTTGGAAGCATTATGTTGCCATAGTAGTTATTTCATGTCCTTTCAACTGTTTTTTTGAAGGATTAAAACTGCTCTGAACTTCTTTTTTTTTTGAGGTCAGATGACTTAATATCTGGCACAATTTAAAATGTTGATTTCTTCCCCTTCCTCCCCTGCTAGATTTGTCTGTAATTGAACATCTCATGTAACTTTACTAAAATTACTATTTTTCTGGAACTGTGCACAGAAAATCTACATTCATTTTTTTTTTCCCCAGTGGAAACTCATTTACTCGTTTGCAAAATTCTTTATCACCCTAGTATTGCTCTCTTGCACATGTGCTTCCAACAACTTCTTTATTTTGGTACTAAAAAAAAAGTCCAAGTCTTCATCTCTGAGAAAGAAAGATGTAGAAAGGCAGTAACTATCTACCCCGAGGCTGCTGAAAAAATGCTAGTTTGGACTGGGCTGGAGGGGTGAGATCTGCCCGGCGCAGAGATCTGCTTGTCCTCCAGAGGCGGAAACCTTGCGGACTCGGTGGGGTAAAGGTCTGAAGTGTAGGGGCACAAGAACCTAGTTTGACACAGACTCTTTTTAGATAACTTCATGAATGCCACTGTTTGTTTATAATTCATTATCTCTTTTGAATTTTATTTTTCTTTATGATTTTGTTGCATGTGATTTTAATAATGGAATGAATTCTATTTAGGTATTGGACTCCTGCAGGACGCCTTTGCTACAAGGTGTGATTATGGCCTTCTTTTAATGCAATGTTATTAACCATGTTATGGTTTCTCTTTTTGCTATTTTTTATCTTTGCTTCCTCTTTTCTTTCTTTTTTGCATCTATTTTTATTTAAAAAAAAATATGAGTAATTCATCAGAGGAGGGCAAATGACAATTTCTGAATACCTTGTCTATAAAATATTTAATTTGAACTTAGAACTCCATTAACATGGCATTTGAAATTAAATACCCTTGTTATAGCATTGGTATGAAGTTACCTTAAAAAGAAGCTTTCTTATCCAATAATAATTTTATATGAATTTCTGCAGCAGCTTGACTCCTTTGTCAACTAATGAAGACTGTCTGGTGCTTCCATTGCTTCGTTAGAGTAATAAAAGATGTTTTTCTTCTCTTCCTGTTATGCTTACTTAACTTATTCTCACTTTCCAATCAAAATGAAAATGTTTTTATTTTTCTGACAAAAACTGCTTTAAAATAAATTTTTAAGTGAAGACAAGCTGCAGAAGTGAATCTGCTCTTACACTTTCTTTTTTTTCCTTCTCTCCAATGGAGCCATGATTCCTAAGACTGAAGGGCAGCCGTGTATACCTCACTACCCCTTAATTTCCCACCCCCTCTGAGTACCTTCAAACACTTAAGATGGGTTAGTTACCTGCAGGTATCTATGTGCAAATACTTATATTTGCAGGTGAACAATTCCTCCTTCACCTACTTTGCCACTGCGTTATGAAACCCTGCCTAGTGCCAGGCAGCAGGGCTGTGTCCCCTGCCTCTGTGCTGAGTGTTGCGGTGTGTCCGTAGTCACCGGGCCCGCGATCTCCCTGGGATCGGGTTGCCCAGCAAGAGGCTGGTTCCTCTCCTAGGCTACAGCTCATGCTGGTTAACACCGATCGTGTTTATTTTGACTGTCTGTTGTCTTAAGCACAACACGGGAAGAGCAGGGTAAGCTTTCCAAATAAGCTTCTTAGAGCATATAAGCATTTAAATATAATCTTCTGTTGAAATGAAATCAGCAGTCTAGAATTATTGATACATGTATTTATAAAGTATAATTTGTCTGCACTACACAATGAATTTTCAGAGAGTGAACTCTTGGACACCAAGTCTTAAATCCTGAATTTAAAATGTGTATTTTTTCATTAGCTTCTTTTGCCTAATAGAGTACTTTAACAATTTAAATCTGATTGGAGAGCCTTAGCAGAAAAGAAAATAGATACAAACCCAAGAGATGTTTATGAAGTGGGAAAGGTTGAGTGCAAATTAAAATCAGATGGTGAGCCTATATTTTTATAACTTAAAACTTTTCTGTCCTGCTGTCTGCACTCAAGTCTTGGATAGCATTTCTAACACAGTTTTTCAATTACTGCTTTGTTCACATGGGAAATATTTGACTCTCTATGATGGGTCCTAGGCTCTGTGATTCTTAGCTGAGAGCATTTTGCTTTCAGCATAATAATGCAGTCGTAACTTGTAGGTGTGCTGTTCATGACTTTTATGGATTAATCTTGATTTGTATTGAATCACTCCCCAGGAAAATATTTGAACAATTCATTGCACCATAGGTCTGTCTTGGGGAAGTTGCATCTACTTCCCATGAGCACTGGCCAATATTGCAGCTGTGCAGTACACAGGAAGGGAGCAAGTGGCTTTAGTGCGTGTGCTGCTGGGTGGTGTTTGTGTATATTTTTTTAAACAACAACAATGACAAAAAAGTACAGATAGCATTTCTAGTTGGTATCAGTATAATCTTTCAGGTCTTTTTTTGAAAAACCTACAAGAGTTATGCAATTTCAAAGCTTTTCAGGTGTCAATACAGTCTTGCAACTTTTTCAGAATTTGTCACACTTGAAGTGTTTAGAAAGCTTTCTTACTTCTCTTTGAAATAAAAAAATAAATAAATATGCTTGTTATTGGCATGTTACACAGAAGGTATCTGCCATTTAATCCTGTAAATTTAAATAGTGTTTTTTGGATATTTACAAATTAATTATAACCATGGGTTTAAGAATTTCATGAATGTCACATCATCAGATTGACCCTCGCATTCATGTCTACGTATAGATGTTACATAATCTTTTACTAGTAGCAGTTGGGATGGTATTTCCAGTTTGTTTTTTAGTTGTTGTTGTGTCTTTCTAATACATAGTCCATGATGTTATGTAATAACGTAATTTTATAACTAAAGTAACTTGATGTTTTATCTCTCTTGACCCTCTGCCCTTAAATTGTCAGAAAAGGTCATGGATCCCTGCCACCCTAAAAATGTTTGCCCAGAGATGGGAACAAGGCTGGGGAAGGCATGTTAATGGAATTGCACTTCTGGTTCTGTACATAGATCTATACTGGATTTAAATGTACACCCAACCCCACAGCATTCCTGGAGGCTGCCTCTGCCTTGCCAAGGCCCCTACTGCAGTCGCCAGTTTGGCGAGAAGATAATTGTGCCATTAGCACTAGGAGGAGAATCTTTATTAAAACCCAGGCATTCAGTAACTCTTTTAGAAACAGCCTTTTTACTACTAGGCAGGATACCTCAATATGGGGAAAAATATGTAGGGTTTTCTACCTAGTTTAGAAAACAGGGGTGCTTTTGCTTCTGAAAGTATTTTGCCTTTGTTAGAAGGTATCTGTGGCTTCATCTTGCCACCCTGGGCATTGGAGCTCCTCAGCATGCTCCATTTTTGGCATTAATTTCACTGCTTTCTTATTTTCTGCCTGTGGCTGTCAGCAGTCAGTGCTAGTGCCCAGCCCTTGGCCTCTTGTTTCCCAAGGTTAAGGGCAAAGCCCCGGGGCGCAGGGTCTCAGCTGCTCCCGCTAACCTGTGTGCGGTGCTGCCAGTGCAGCTGCTCCCGGGGAGGAAACCAGGGCGCTCTGCACTCTGACAGTGCAACAACAAATAGGGAAAGCAGCCGCCTTTTACCAGGAAAAATACAAAAATGTCCTGGGTGGCTTATTGCCAGTTATTTTAAGTTGAAACTATAACCGGTCTATGTAATAATTTGATTTAGATTGTGCTCTGCAGCAGGTCTTTACAAATCCTTTTATTATATATATAAAAGGAAATTTTACAAAGAAAGTAGCTAATACAGTTAGTTTTTGCTAACTGTAATATAGTTAGCTTTTACTGGCATGAAAAAAAGAAGACAGTCTTTTCTGTTCAGGCTATCTGTAAATATTAAGCAGGATCCTGGGGCCTAGTTCAAGTCCTGCTAATTGTGTCTTTGAAAAACTTCCTTAAACTCAATTTCCTTTTATTTTTCTGTGTTTAATTGTTGGAACGCTTCTGTCTCATAGGTTTAATTTCTTGTAGAAGACTTGGATCCTTGGGTTGAATATGCTTTTGTAATGGAAAGCATTAATTAAGAGTTGTGATTATTTGGCTTGAATGCTTTTCTCATTTGTAGAGGATTTTCTATCTATATGCTGCTAAAGCACTCACACTTGTTTAATTACATTTCTCTTAGCTAACAAATACTTTGGACCAATGGGGGAAAAATAGTATTTCTATATAAAGAGTAATCTTTGTTTTGCATTTAGATGATGGAACATCAGGATTATGCAGGAAATGAAGAAGGAACAGCGACAGCCAGCGAACAGCCTGAAGGATAATAACATGTAGGATTCTGATTTAAAATAGTGTTCAAATTTTCTACAAGTGAATTGCAGTAAATTTGGTTAATTTTTACAACAGATTATTTCACATTCTGTATAAAAGTTTGGGGTTTCTTTCTGTTTTGTGTTTCTGCACCTATATTTTTATGGAAAGATATTGTTAATGACATGATTATAGATTTGCATTTTTACAGCCAAACCGTAGCTAGTAAAACCGTGCCTTATTTCAATTTAAATAAAAGGATATTTTCTATGCAATTTTCCAAACGTGTTTCTATACAATATATTTTTATACAAGTTTCTTGCCCATATCACCTTGAAGTATGAAACGTTTTCTTAATTTGGAGTAAGATTGGTCAAGTTTCATATCTCTAAATTAGTAGTACTCTTCATAGCATTTTAAAATCTTATTGATTTTGAATGCACAGACTGAAGGCAATGAACCTATAGGAAGCAACAAATGAAACTCTAATTCCACTACTACAAGTAATGGAGTAGACAGTGCCTATGTTAATCTATGTACATTGTAAGCCATAAAAGAGGTAACAGGACAACCTTAACCTGTGGTAGTGGTCTTTTTTATTGTATATACTACCAACCATTTTTAAAATTGGCTTATTTATATAGTGGCCCTAGAATTTTAAAGGGAGTTCCTGGGATAGTTAGGAAGCAAAATGGTGCTAAAGGCAAAAGGGATTTTGTTTAGGGGGGAGTGAGGGAGACCCTTAATTTTAACTCTGGCCCAACTCTTCTATCCACTGAGACTTGGTCTACATTTATAGTCTTCATTTGGCTGTGGATCAGGTCAAAGGGTTAGTGGGAGGAGAGGAAGAAAAAAAAAAGGGGGGGGTGTGTGGTTTATAGCTTTGTATCTAACCAGTCCTGCATTTTGGAAAGTATTTTGAAAATTCTTTACAGTTGATAGACAGACAACAGGTTTAAATAGTGCTAGTCTTGCTGTGTTAGTTCAAGTCAATGCATGTGTTTAACTTGTGGTTTAATCCTAATTTATCTTATCTTTTCAATACTCTAAAGAATGTGAAATGGAAAATTACTTTAAATCATTAGTTTGCATTTAGAAGAGTTTTTGATTTTGTTTGCTTGACACACTTCTTTCTTGGGAAACTGCAAATTGAGGGGGATTAGGCATAGAACATTTGTATAGCTGTAATGCTAACACCTGACACCAAAGAAGACTGGAGAAGGTAACAACAGGAAACCACCGAGTTCACTTACTGCTCATGTCAGGTTGTCATTAAAACATTCTTCCTATGTTTTAAATGAATGTCATTCCTATAGTCAGTGCAAGTTTGAGAAACCTAGAGAAAACAACTGAATAAGCACCTGCTGGGCAAAGGCAATGCAGGTTTTCCTGCACTGCGTCACCCAGGTGCCTCAGTGTTGGTCTGAAGGTCACCTCTAGATATTGGAGGCATATTTACCTGGATTAAATCTAGTTTAGCTAGATTTATTCTAGAAGTATGCTAATTGAGACAAATTCATACTGGCAGGTGTAAAGACTCACCACAAATGTACTGCTTTGCTTAATTTGTATCAAGTTTAAACTTTTCTAAGGAGTCCTGAGGTAGGCAAGTTTATAGTGTGAATGTCCGTTGTTGCCATACACACAGATTTATGATGATGCTGCTTGATATGGGTGAGATAACTATCTTAATTGCAACTTCCCTTCCACAACAACAAAGACCAGCAGTTTTCAGACATTAGTAGCTGCCTCTCAGTACTCTACTGATCTCAGCTTGAACAGACAGCCCCAGAACGGAATGATTTTTGCACCCAATCTTAATTTTTGAGGCAGCTGGAATGACTGGCACTTAATAACAAACTCCAGCATACGTCAGTGTTCTGGTGCAGACTGCAGACCCCTGTCCCAATGTGCCCCCATGAGCTCTGACAAGCCCAGTCTCTGCCCAAGCGAGTGCCTCAAAGTCCTTTGAAAGAGATAAAGAAGTCATAACATGCTCAATGTCGTGCACTACTCAAAGCCTTTAGAAGCTTTACAAACTATGTAATATGACTTCTTTTTCTCTCTGAAATCTTGTGTAGTCTCTGAAATCTTGTGTAGTCTCTGAAATCTTCTACGTAGACGATTTATTAAATTTTTAGCTCTAATTGATAATGGAGCTGGTGTAAATTAAGAAGACCTTTGGCAACGTATGCAAGTGTATTCAGCAGCTGGCTGTTAAAACTATTGCTCTGTGCCTAATTATGCTTTATGCCTGATCATGCCTGAGGTTTCACACACATGCTGGTTTGATGAGATGTAAACTAACTCTTTTCTTCTTTTGAATGCTTAGGTGCTTTGTTTACAAAAATTAAGAATGGAGTTTAAATTTTTGTATAAATAATAGGTTAGTATTGACTACTGAAATGGGTTTTTATAAGTTCAGAAGAACTGACTGCAAAATTGCACTTAGCAATTTTGAATGTTGTAATTTTAAATTTGATTGGGCTAAACACTATGTTTAAAACCTTTCTAGCAATACTTAATATAAAATCTTACTGCTTTTCATTGTATGTTTACTGACAAAATCCCTTTCCTTGCAACTTTTAAGTTATCATCTTAAGGATGTTATTAATAAATGTTACTACTTTAAAAAAAAAAGGCAAAAATTGAGTAATGCTTTGTGCTCTTACTGTTTGTCCTTTCTTATTGTGAATGTTCAAGGCAAGACAGTATCAATAATATTAAGTGAATTGAAATTTCATGAGATATACCGAGGTGTTTTTTTCATCCATCCTATCTAAGTACCAAAGTTACTTAGTTAACTAATTGTTGTGGCAGGAGGGAGGAGAGCAGCTGCGGCCGTCATCCCTTTTGTCAAAAGTGGTTGATCAAAGTTCAGGGTTTTGCATTCTTGAGAGAGGCTGATGGTGGAGCATCAAGTATCTTTGGAATCTACCTTATTTCTAAAGAATGTGCAAGATCCTGTTTCCCTGAGCACAGAGGGAATCCAAGAGCTGAGGACTTTTTTTTTTTCTTTTCTTTTCTTGCAGCTCCAAGACCTTTTCACCACGCAGCTCTTTCTCAGGGGAGCTGCGGGGTGCTCCGCTGGCCCCAGTGCCTTTTTGTTCCTGCTGTTGCCTCCTTCCTTTTCTCCCCATCCTTTTCCTCCCATGGCAAGACCAGCACACTTCGGAGCATCTCTGCACAGCTTTGTTTTGTGCCTCTGTTCCAGTACGGAGTCCAGTGTTCACAAGGAAGTTTAGCCTTTCTGATGCTCTTAAAACAAATGCAGCAGTTACTGCCACCAGCTTAATCCGCTCTGTAACAGTTCCAGGGATGGGGGGAAAGTCCAGAAGGAGCCAAACTGGAGTAAACTCGCTGTAGCTATTTCTCCAAGGCAGGCACTGATAAAACCTTGCAAAGGGTCACCCCTTGTGTGTACTCGGCCCCGCGCTGTCCCGGGCAGCTACGGATTTTGCGCCTGTCGGCGGAGGCTTTGGGAGGCACCCGCGGCAGTTCTGTGCGAGACCTCAGCCTGGGCTGGTTAAGCGCTCCTGCTTTCGAGGCAGGAAGGAAGGTGCTAGATTCCCACATCCAGGGTTTGTTTGGATGGCTAAGGAATCTTTCCACACACTTCTGCAATGTATATGAGGAAAAAAATCACTCGTTCAGAACTGCTCTGTATATTCAAGTTAATGAGCTTATTAACTTGAATCATATTAATATGGAATATCTTTAATGCACATTTTTTAACTGGATAACTAGCACTCTTGCTTGCCTAATCTGGATGTGAGAAGCGCTACCGCAAAGCCAAACCTGCGTTACTGGTTCTGCACAATCTGAGTATGAAGTGTTTGGTCATCAGCCCTTTGCATTGCCACCATAAAAAAGCACTCTACAGTCCTTTCCTAGCATTTGAGATAATTTGCCTGTCCTTTCATATGTCCCAGAAAAATGAGGAAGCTCTGAAAGCCTAACAGCCCTCACCTAGCTTCACCCATGTCTGCATTGCAAAATAAATGGTTTACTTTGTTAGCGAAATAACACTTTAGCCTTAAGTTAACGTGCTAAGTACATTAGATTTAAATACATATGCTGCTTGTGAGATTGCAGTCTATATCAATTGCAAGGAATAATTTAAGTATGCAAAATTAACTTTTTACGTACTATTTTTCTCCAAATACATTTTACATTTAATGGAGATTTTACAACCCATTTCTTCAATGTACATAGCTGAAGCACTTGTTTTCTTTGAGACAAGACGTGCAAACTCAGTGCCGAGAGTAATGATTGCCTACTTTGGAGATTATGGGTGTAACGCAAAAAAAAATTGCTAAACCTGTGGGACCTGGTGAGAAAAGGATGTGTAACACTGGAATGTATCAAAAGCAATAAAGAAATAAAATGGTATAAGAATAACCAAAATTTCTCAATAGCTTTAAAACTGCAGTTAAGATACATTTTTGGAAATTTGTTCTCACTGGCTTCAGGGGAAACAAGACTCCTGTAAGGTTGTGTTTCCTAAGCAATGCAGTTACTGTGATTAACAGTAATAAACTATTTCTATTTCATCCCCTTTTTGAAATACCGTATGTTCAATTGCTGAAAAGTTCCATGCTTGTAATATTATTTGGTGTTAGGCATTTTCGCAAAGGTGCAGAATATTTTCACAAAAATTTCCACAACTCCAGCAATAACACATAGGACTCACAGATCCCGTTAGCCTGTGTCACCCTATACTTTTTGCCTTACTTGACAAATTTTAAACTTTCATGTTGACAGATCAGTGTCTTCAGAGTTAATGAAGAGTAGCAGTCAGAATGTAAGTCGTGTGCTGACACTTTAGCTAGAGCTGAGGTAGCTGATATAGAGAGATAAATTAAAAATGGACAAACCTGTGGAAAAATCAGGACATGTAGGTTTGGAGGAATTCACCCTGGTTAAAAGAATAAGAAAAGTGATTTGATTATGCCTTTTTTTCTGCCACGAATGCTCTTACAAGGGACAAAAGTTGTTTCTCTACAGAATCTGTTTGACCTCTGGTAGGATATTAACTAGATTTCCTTATTAGTTGGCAATTGCATCTGAGCTAACTACATGAATTCCAGCACGTTTTGAGCAACTTTAAATTAACATTTGCTGAGTTATTGTGGTAAAACTTATAATGGATTCAAAAAAAGCTAAACGTTATTACTCTTGTGCTCAATGGCTGCTCATTTAATTTGTCATAAAAAGGAATGTTGTACTTTTTTCTTTCTTTCTGAGCACAACTCAGTATTTCATCTATGTGAGGGTGAG